TGCTCTGCAGAACACCATGGAGAAAGTGAGGGGACCCATAGAGTGGACCACATCTATGACAAGGGTCTAATACCTAGTGTGCAAAGAACTCCTGCAGCTCAGTAATTTTAAAGAGCCCATTTTAAAGAGACAAAGGACTAGTCTGAGGAAGCTCACAGTTCTCATCTTTGCTGACCAGGTGCGGATTCCTGGTGCATTCCTCTTAAAGGTACACTGATCATTCCTGCTTCGTGGGTACCACACCAGAGGGTCTTTGCACCACAACCACTTTACCCAGTCTTGTCACATCCAATAGGACAGTCTCTCACCTGGCAAAGTCCACAAGTAATTGCTCCCAGGATCTGGGGCTAAAACAGAAATGGGGAGAAGCCTTGACTGTGAGTTTCTGCTACTCTTACCCATTATCTCAGTGCAGAAAAAAAAATAACAGTGTGGATCTGGCCCCGAGGCTTCCAAATAAGTTTCTCCTATTGGGAGTGGGCTGGCTGGGATACCTGCCTCGATTCCTCCATCCTGAAGGCCTCTGCGGCTCTGTGCCAGGCCTTTCTCCACTGCAGAGGCCACACCCTCTTCTCTGGTTGCAATTGTGCTATGGCATATCTCTACTGTCTCCCAGTTCCCCACCAGGATCAAGCCACCACCCACAGCAAGCCACCCTGTCTGGCTACCTCTCCTCCCTGTCACAGCCCCCACCCCTCACCTGGGCACAGGGTCCCATTCCCAAAGAAAGTGCTTGCACTCAAGTTCTGCTTCTGCGGAACTCAAGCTAAGACATCCATTGGCCCCTAGTTAGTTTTTCTTTTATTTTTGTGGTGGTATGGGGGTCTGAACTCAGGGCTTCGTGCTTGCAAGGCAAGTACTCTGCTACTTGAGTCATGCTTCCAGCCCAAAACAAGGGGTGAGTTGACTTTATTTTTTGTTTTTTATTTTTTTGGTGGGACTAGGGTTTGAACTCCGGGCTTTGCACTTGCAGAACAGGCACTTGTGGCTTGAGCCACACCTCCAGTACAAAAAGGCTTCCCTGACAGGGGAGCGAACCCAGGCCATGGCGGTGAAGGCTTTGAATCCCAACTACTTTTTAAAATGAGCCTTATTGTGACAGTTCACATACAATATACTCACACATTCAAGTGCAGAATTCTGTGAATTCTAGCAAATTTACAGAGCTGTATAAACATACCATGATATATTTATAAGACATTTCCCCATCACCCCCAAAAGAATCTCCTTACCCACAGATAGTCGCTCCCCCATCCCCACCCTCCTGTCCCCTTCCCCTCCAGTTTCTGTCTAATTCAGGGCACGTAGGTCCTGGTCTCCTGACGCTGCCATTGTCTCCATACCTTCTTACTTTTAACCCATTAGCGTTAACCCTACTCCTTTGGACCCAGTTCCAAAAAATCTAGGCTAACTAGACTCAGATGCTGAAGGCTGCAGGTGGTTGCTGGGCCATTGGTAAGTGAGGCGGCCACTCTGCTCCTGCCTGAGCACTGGGGTGACTGAGTTCAGCTTGCCAGCAATTGTCATAGCCTAGGAGAGGTTGAGACCTTGAAAGGTTTCCTTTGGCCCCTCTGAGGTCCCTGTTTATATCCCATATCAAGACCTATACTGTGAAATATGTAGGTCCCCAGGGAACCAGTTCTGCATCTTCCTCTGTGACGTCAGGGTGCCGCCTGCCTTACCCAGAAGGCTTTCTGCACCTTAGCCCAGTTCTCTTTCCTCCACTCCAGCCCCAGGCAAGCTTGAGACCATGCTGGTCTCACCTTCAGGATTCTGTGGTTTTGTTTCTTTTGTTTCACAAAGAAACCCCAACATCCCCATCTTCTGGCTGGGACTCAGCTCCTTCTGTTCCCCCTTTTAGGGCCTGTTGTCCTGCCTTGTGAGCAGATTTGTGGCTGTTCTTAAAGATACCCCAAGGCCTCCATTATTCTCTAGATGTCACAGTTAGGCTGCACCTCAGCTGTGTGGGCAACGCAAGAGAGTCAGGAGTTCCTGGCCGCTGACCACAGATTCAGGACCAAAGGCCTGGATCCTGGCCATGTGCAAGGGGTCCTTGCACTGATGAATCACAGCAGCGGCTCCTGGCCTCTCCAGAAGCAAAGGCAGTGGACTTGAGACAAAGTCCATGACTCTCTTCCAAAAGGACCCCCAGTGCCTCTTTTCTGTGTCCCACTGCTGACCCCACCCTAATTCAGGGAGCCTCCTGCTTAGCCAAGACCCATCCTCTCCTCACCCATGGCTCCCAGACCACATATTCAGCTCCCCAGACTCATGAGAAGAGTTTTATCACATTAATATCATTCTCCTGGTTGTAGCGCTGTCACTGAAATGTGCAGGAGAAATGAAAGAAAATCGCTTAAAAAACACAGTTACTTCACCTGGTCCATGCCAGGGTACTGCTGCTGGGAAACAACAGAGTCATTTGCTGTTTCCCTCACGCTCACGATCCCCACTGCAAATGTGAGCAACCCTTGATGTCCCAAGTGAAATAAAGGACAGTCTTCACTGGGTCTGCAGAGGAGTTGCAATCCTGGAAGAGTCATGCGTTTGCACCTCCCAAACTTCTGTTTGTACACAAAAACATACTTGGGGCCTCGGCTGGGATGTTGTTGGCAGGACTCTTACCTCTGTGGGCCCCAGGCGTGTGTAGCAGTTGTGTGGGATGCAAGGCAGAGCTCCACTGTGTGGCCCTTGCCTGTGCCTGCAGGCCATTCCCATCCCCAGCTCTGTCCAGCTCTGTTAGGAGCAGCCCTCCACCTTTATGACCACAAAGAGGCCCCAGAGATCACCTCCAGAATGGCCCTATTCAAGATCTCCTGCCCCAGAAGCAGGTGGGAACAGGTAACTGGATGGTAGCCTCACAGTAGGCTTCACTGTTAACTAGTCTTACATGCCCCTTTGAGCCTACAGAGACATAAGCTTGGCTCTTGACAAGCACATTTTACCACAATGCAACTGGTGACCTTAGAGGCAGGTAAAGTGAACTGAGTGGGGCCAGTTCATTTTGCTTTTTCCAAGTGTGAGGGATGTAGAGCCTGCTGCACTCACCCCCTTCACCCCCTGGGCCAGCAGCAGCACAGGACAGTGGAGGGAACTGAGGCTATCAGTCCTGGTGAGCTCACCATGGGCCCCTCTGCTCCCCTCCCCCCTCTGAGCCAGGATGGTGTTCTTCTTGGAGGACGTCATGGCATGCGCGAAGCGGCTACTGGAATGGATCGCTGGCTGGCTTCCTCGTCACTGCATCGGGGCCATCCTGGTATCCCTGCCTGCCCTTGCTGTCTACTCACACATCACCTCTGAGTTTGAGACAAACATACATGTAAGTAATGGCTGGCCATCTTATTTTCATGCTCTCTAGGCTACACAACCTCCCTCCCTCTCTTTAAACAAGCCTGGTCACTTAGGACAGTGATTTAAATACAGCCCCTTAACCAGCCGCACTCTGTGAGTGCCTCCAGCTTGTCTTTCAGAACATGGCAACGTGGACTTGCCACTGCCACACTGGGAAGATTCCCCAGTGGACATGAAGCCTTTTCAACTTTTTTCAGTCTCTACCAAGTCTCAAATCAGTTACAAACCGTCCCTGCCTTTCCATGGTTCAATTTTCAAGTTTTTGACTTCATACAACCATTTCAATTCTGACTTTCAGTGGCACACTCAGTCAGTTACACTGGGTAGTCAACACTTGATTGCCAAAGGGCTTGGTGTTGGATTACTTCACCCAACTGTAGGCTCATGCAGATATTCTTGAGCAGTTAGGGTCGACTAGACTAAGCTATGACATTCGGTAAATTAGTGACATTAGTGGTATTAATTGCGTACGATCGTTTTGTTTGTCACTTTTTCTTTTTTTTTTGGTGGTACCGGGGTGGACTCTGGGCCTTGCACATGATAGGCCGTGTTCTACACTGCGCTGTGCCCCAGTCTGACTATTTACATTTGTGTTGGGCTCGTTGGGTGTAACCCAACTGTAAATCGAGTGGCATTTGTGTTTTTCTTCATTCTTTACAAAGAAACATCTGTCTCATGTTTCCAAATGATACAAGACAATGTGCCAGCCAGTCTGTAGGAGTAATTGACTTGCACCTGGATCAGCTGCCACTGTTCAAGGAAGGAGTTTTAAGTTAAGCTGCGTGAAGTGCGAGCGAACTCTGCTGTGTGGGTTATGTCTTTGGTGTGAGTCGGGTGATGTGAGCAGCTGGGCTCATTGCATTTGATGCTCTGACACCCACAGAGCATTAAGTGCCTACTCACAGTAGGGACGTTAAGGAGAGGCGTTTGGGAGACAACTGATCCCAAGGTGGTAGGTCCCCAGTGGGGGGCAGCTTCCCTTTCTTTTTTTTTTTTCTTTTATTATTCATATCCAGCTTCCCTTTCTTTCCACCAAAATGATGTGTGCCATTTCCACACACTTGGAGGAGAGTTTTCATACCAGTGTGAACTTATAGCTAAAGCACTGGATCATGAGTCTAAAAATGTGCAGTCTGTCCTTGAAACCACTGGTTAGCCAAACATAAGAGCTACTGCACATAGACGGGCCAGTTGGTGATGTCAGAAATGGCAAAGTTTGATATTAAACAGAGACATGGGCAGGTGAGCAGGTCCTCTTGTCTGGGATGCTCCACTCAGGTGGGATGTGGGAGCAATGCACAGGGAGAAGGGGACGGGCTGTGCTAATGTTGGCTTCTCTTGCAGTTCACCATGTTCACTGGCTCAGCTGTGCTGGTGGCTGTCGTCCACTACTGTAACTTCTGCCAGCTCAGCTCCTGGATGAGGTCCTCCCTTGCCACCATTGTGGGGGCTGGCCCGCTGCTTCTGCTCTATATTTCCCTGTGCCCAGACAGGTACGTGACTGGAACCCTGAACTCACAACCACTTTGCGGTGCTGCTTCAGGCTCAGCTGAGTTTTCATGTGAGCACTGATTCCCTCCCCATTGGCAGGTGGTGATGGCCTGAGATAGCTTCCAGCATACATCATTTCAACTGCCCTGGGAAAATACACAGTAGAAAGCATCATTTATAACAGCATACTACATGTTGAGCATCCCTAATCCGAAAATCTGAAATCCAAAATGCTGAGAAATCTAAAGCATGTTGAGCATCGCCATGACACCAGAAGGCCTGGTGGTTCAGTATGCACAAAATTATTCAAAATATTGCATACAGTTACTTTAGGCTGTGTGTACAACACACACACACGCACACACACACACACATACCTATAAGAGAGATATATATGAAACATAAACAAATTTTGTGTTTAGACTTGGTTCCTATCCCCAAAATGTCTCTATTTGTCTGCAAATATTCAGAAATTCAAAATACGTCTGCTCCAAACATTTTGGGTAAATGATGGTCAATATGTGTATATATCAATATAGATGTCCTTGGGTGACTGCCCTGGAAGATATAATGTAGTGTAGCACACTTGAATTTACTTGTACAAGTAAGTTGAAATCTAAGTAAGATCTGAGGCCATGTCACACAACACAATCAGGACAATGAAAGAGCAGAAGGAAAGCCGAGCATGATGACTCACGCCTGAAATCTCTGCACTCAGGAGGATCCCAAGCTTGACTGCAGCCTGGGCTGCATAACAAGAACCAATCTTAAAAAAAAATGAAAAGAACTCACACACACACACACACACACACACACACACACACACACACGAAAGTTAGAGCAGATGTCCAGGTTGGCACAGAGATGAAAAGAATGCTGTTCTAACCTTCCTCAAAGTAGGTTGCTGTTCCAAGACGGGCTAGATATTGTTGGAGTGGAGGAAGTGACAGTCTTGACCTGGCTCTTATTGTAAATGAGAGCGGTCCCCATGTTATGACATGAGACCCAGGAAGAAGGAGCCTTCAGGGACATCTGTCTTTGATCTTGAAGTCCCTCCACATCCAAGGGAGTGAGGTTCAGTCTCTGGGACTCCATGGCCTTCAGACTGTGGCTGGCAGGTGCTGAGGAGTAGAGAATGCAGACAAAGAAACAGGCATCCAGGTTCTCTGGGGACAGGATCAGCTCTCATTTAGATTTTTACCACAAAAATCTTAAAAATAAAAATATACGAGATGGCAATGAGGAGGCCCGGGAGCTTGCTCTTCCGTGGGCTCCACTAATTGAATAGTGTTGGTTCTCAGTTTGTTAAAGGGAGTCTCAAATTGCCTGTTGCACATCTGCAACTGGTTTTGTGGCTTTTAAGCTTTGTCAACTTAATATGTAATTGGAAATACAGTAACTCCTTGGGCAGCAGAATGCACAGAGTGAGAACTTTATGTAAAAATATCACCATCTCTTTAGCACATTAAGCTCTGTTTGTGTAATAAACCTCTCCTAAACATCAGGCTTTTTCCGTAGCTTCTTATAAAAGTGTTTCACTGCTAGCATGTATCGGAGAGGCACCTAGTCATACTTACAGAGGGTTTAGACAAGCAGGCTATTTTAGAGTTACATGAGACATTTCTTCATTGTGCTTTGCATCTAACATTCTAGTTCCCTAAGTTATTATGATAACCAGGGAGATCCCCAAATTTCCTAGGTTACCCCCGAAATGGCACTACTGTCGCTGAGGACCACTGCTTTAGTAAATGCAAAAGCCACAAAACGAGCCAACCCACCCCAGGATGAGCAGTGTCAAATGTGGCATTCCCAGTGTGTCCTTGGGTGTTAACAAAGCAGCGGTCAGTAATGGGCAAGGCACACGTCCTTCCTCACTCTTAAGCTCAGAAAGGGATGTAAAGTGGAACTGCCACTCGGTGTCTGAGAGGACACTGTAATGAGTGGTTAAGTTGCCTCAAGCAGAAGAAAGCAGACTTTTACCTTTGTAAGGATGGTGGTCATCTGGAATTACAGTCATTACAGAACTCTGTACGAAGAGCCTTTAACCTCGGGCCCATCACCGTGACATTTACTCCCATCAGCCATTCACACTGACATTTGTCACAGCTGTGGGGCTTTTTCACTTGGACTCAGAGGACAAAGTGGTGGGGATCACGCGTCACCTTCCTGCCCAAATTCCAAACAGCAGGTTTTGGGATGGGGTGGTGGATGGAGCTCCCTGGACCCCCTCCTACATGGAAAACCCAATGAGCCCACCCATCCCATCCCCATTGCTGGGCCTAGCAGGGCAGGGAGCATGTGGAGTGCTCAAAAAAGCCTGAACTCAGCTTTTGCAAAAGAAGAGGAGACATCAGAGCACTGAGCGGTCCAGAGCTGGGGACACAGATGGGAGGAAAAAGAGGTGGCCATGTGGATCGTGGGCGTTGTTTAGTTGCTCCCAAAACGGAAGTTGTTTGCTTAAACTCTCCCCAGCTCGCTGCCTTTATTGTCTTCTTTGCTTTTTGTAATAATAATTTCTGCATCTTCATTTCAGTTCCATAGCAATTTCACCTCTGGATGCAGCACTGAACTTCAGGTAAGCCTTTAATGAGAGGCCTGGGTCTGAGCAGATGAGAGTGACTGTTTTATCACTGCTTATTTCTGGGCTTTCTGACAGCAGTCATACAACAATAAAGGGAATAATATGAATCTAAAAGAGATAGTGGAAAGTAGCTAGTTGTTGAATTATCAGATTATAATTGTAGCTTACTGGGAAAATAAAATGAAGATGAAGGCATGTATTAGAGTTAGCTTAATTTTATGTAAGATGTGTTACAGAGGAAATCTCACACATCAAGGAAATATATTTTATCCCCTAAAATATTTTGAAATAACTGTATAGAATTTGAAATATAAATATTTGAAATTTGAAATAAACATTTGACCTGCCCTTTACTATAAACATCAAATAATTCTAAATACATTGAAGGATCAAAAATAAAAATTAAACTACATAAAATCTAGAAAAAGTAAAAATTAGTTTTCAAGCCTCTTAGACAAAAATAACTTTCCAGTCTTATAAGTAATAAATACGTCCACAAAAAAGACAACTGACAATAAATTATAAAGAAAGGGAAGAATATCAAAACAGACATGAAAACATTTGTGAGACTGTTCTGTAAAGAGCTAATACCAGTGTGGAGACTGGTAATCCTAGCTCTCAGGGAGGCGGAGCAGGAGGAGCTCAAGTTTGAGGGCAGCCCAAGGAAAGCTAGGAAGAGGGAGACTACCTCAAAAACAAAAACAAAAGGACTGGAGTGTAACTCAAGTGGTCCAGCACTTGCCTAGCAAGCACCTAAGACCCTGGGTTCAATCCCCAGTGTACATGCACGCACACACACTGCTAATTAAGGCCTGCACAGATGAAGGACCAAAAAGTTCACAGCACAGGAAATGTGGGTAAACGATAAGTATGGCAGTGCTGTCAGTGTCTTTACTACTGAAGTCATTGCACATTTAAATTTCTGCCCAGCCCCTTTTGAGTTTCCTCTTGTTGTTTCGTTGGTTGGTTGGTTTATAAGAAAGGGTCTTGCTACAGAGCCAAAATTGGCCTCAAATTCATAGTCTTCCTGCCTCTGCCTTCTGAGTGCTGGGATTACAGGTATACAGCACCACATCCAGTTCCTTTTAGCCTTTTCAATTGGACTTTCAAAAAGTTGTAACATGAATGTTCAGAGTAGGCAAGCGTTTATACAGTCATTAAACTACTAGTAGTGGTGATTTTTCTTTTAGCTATAAGGCATTTTAGATATGTTTATTTCATCCCCACAATAACCTGAGATGTTAGCTAACTTTTACTCCATTTCCAGATGAGGAAGCTGAAGCTCAGAGAAGCTAAGGAGCCGCCCTTAGTCACACAGCAGGTCATGGATAGTCTCCTCACTTCCAGGCTGTGGTCTTCCCCCCATGCCTCATTACTTCACAGAATGTTACAGTAGTTTGGGGAAGTAATTTGACAATCTGTTAAAATGCGGTCATAAAAAGGTTCATAGCCTTTAACCTAATAACTCCATTTTTGCTTATTTGCGGAGGTAAGAATTCAGCATAGGGTAAAGGCTGCATGCCTAAAAACACTGATCACAGTGATTAGTGAAAATTCACCAACAGCTTCAGTTTTTGGTAATGAAGGATGTAAATTATTATATACATAACCAAATACTGCAAATATGGGAGACACTTATGATTTTCATTTATTTTGTGAAATTGTTTCTGTACTATAGCTACTGCTAGGTATTTCATTATAAAAAATGTAAGAGACATAGAGCTTACAATGTAATAATGACTAATGATTACAACTACAGTATTCAAAAGCAAAACACCTAGTATCAGTTTTTTTGGGTTTAGTTTGGTTTGGGGTTTTTGTTTTGTTTTGTTTTGTTTTCTGTAACTGGGCTTGAACTCAGGGCCTACACCTTGAGCTACTCCACCAGCCCTTTTTTGTGATGGGTTTTTTCAAGTTAGGGTCTCAGGAACTATTTACCCAGGCTGGCTTTGAACTACAATCCTCCTGATCTCAGCCTCCTGGGTAGCCAGGATTATAGGTGTGAGCCACCAGCGCCCAGACTAGCATCGTCTTTCAAATTAACTTTTTAATGACATACAACTCATGCATACACGAGTCCCCAGATGCTAAGAGCACAGCTCTGTGAATCTGCACAAGAGAACCCACCAGTGTACCTTTCACCCAGACCAAGAAGAAAGATATTCCCAGCATCCCAGATCCCCTCCAGCCCCTCCTAGTGACACCCTACCCCTACCACAGTCCCAAGAGTACATTTTAAATGGCACGGAAACACACCAGAGTTAAATAATGCCATGCTTAGCTGGTCTTTGTTTTCTCTGTTTTAAAATCTCTCTTCTCCATGACAGTGGCTTACTCGACATTTTACTTCCACGCGTGATTTAATGACCAGGTACTCAGTCATAAATTGACTCTTGCAGTCAGTCACCAAAAATTCCTTTTTGAAACTGACCTTTGTGATTTGAATTTTGTCTTTCTGTCTTAGAATAAGGAATGCAGGTTATAGACTGGCAGCACTCTTCCCAGCTTGTTACAGATGTCTTCTGTAGCTGCAGCCCCTTTGGGTACAAACGTGATGCTGCATATCAGGGCTCTTTTCCTCACAAGAAGAGGTAAAAAGCAACAGTGTACAGCTGGCCCTGACTTACAATGGCTTGACTTAATGATTCTTACGCTTTACCACAGTGTGAAAGCAACTGTTCTTATTTTCACTTCCGAGAAGTTATGTGAGCTGTCTGGCACTTTGTTATAAAATAGGCTTTGTGTTAGATGGTTTGGACTGTCGAGGCTAGTGTGAGGCTGCTGTTAGTGCTCTGAGCACGTTAGGTGCACAGGCTAGTCTACAGCCATGCCACCCTGAATGTGCCCGATCTCATGTGATCTGGGACGCTAAAGAGGAGTTGAACCTGGTAAATACTTGGATGGGAGGCCACCTGGGAATACTGGGTGCTATAGGCTTAAAAAAAAAAAGTTACGCTAGGCTAAGCCATGGTGATTGGGGGTTAGGGGAGTAAGTGCACGTTTGACTTTTGATGCTTTCCACTCGCGGTGGGTTGTCAGGACATAACCCACCATAGGGTGGGCAGCGTCTGTAATCTGTTTCCCTTCACCTCCCACCCTGGCCCACATTTTCTGCCTCCAGAGTCAACTCTGCTGCAGCACGGCAGAAAAGTTAGGAGAGCAATAGCTGGAAGGAGGAAACCCAGGCACCGTCACCCCTTTCTCCCACAGAGCTTGTACCATTCAGATGGCATTAAACCTTGCTGAGGTCTACTGATGGGGACTGTTCCTACCCCCGGCCCAGTGAGATGCTGTCACTAGGAGAGGAGACCTCCTCCCATCCCAGGCTTCTGCCTGCTCTGCTCTAAAGCCAACCAGAGGCTTCATGGGCTGGACAGAAATATGTCTTGTTCATCTAAAGTAAAGCATTACTTTGTTTAACACTTGAGATTCATACATATTGTCATTTGTTTCAATGACAGTGGTCAAAAACAAGTAAGTGTGGAGTGTCTTTCCATAGAGTACTTTGTCAGTCCCCAATTCACACTCGTTGAACGATAGAACCTGTGTTGGGACCCCAAGACCAGCCCTGATTTGACTCAGGGGACTCAGTACACTGCAGTGCTCATGGCTATAGGTCATTACAGAAAATGACACAGAGCAAAATCAGCAAAGGGAAGGCTACTTCTAAGAGTTCTCTACCAGTGGCGTCACATAGGACAAGCTTAGTTCCTCAGCAGTCAGCTGTGACAATGCATGTGGAGCCTGGTAGAGTCTCATTGCTCTAGAATAGGAATTCTGTTCTATTTTGTTTTTGGCCATAGTTGGGGTTTGAGCTTGGCCTCACACTTACTAGACAGGTGCTCTACCCCTTGAGTCGCTCCATCAGCCCTGCTGAGGATTTTTATTAGTAGTGGTGACATAGGCAGCCTGTGCCTGATACATACCTGTATTTCAGACTTCCAGAAGGAAAGCAGGTGTGGAGTATAAACTACATTGTCTATACAAGCAGCCTGGACATCATGAGCTGCTCTTACCTAGGAACAGTGGGAACCATCCTGAACTCCAGCTCCCTAATGCCAGCCAGGGCCCCTCACAGCCAGCCTTTCGGAGAGAGCAGCCCCAGGCCTGCTGAGCTTACCATTCTGCACAGAACCTTAGGCCAGAGGGGACTTGGCCATGCTCCATCCCATCTTCACAGTTTACACACAAGGAAATAGAGACCCAGCAGACAGGCCTGGCTTACCCAAGGTTCCGGAACTCTCCAGCGGTCCCATCAGGACAGTCCAGGGTTCCAGTCAAAAGCCAGGGCTTTTGTGACCGGGCTTTAGGGAGGCCTTCAGTAACTGTCTCAAGTTCATTATTTTTTAATATCTTTAAGACAGAGGTAACAGCAAAACTTATTAAGTACTTGGACTAAAGAATTGAGCCATCTAAACTGTATACAACTAGACTTAATGCAGTGACCAAGCCATTGTAAGGTAAAACCTATCTGCCCACTCAGCACTGTAGAGATATATCAAGTTATAAAACTTCAATGAACAGAATGATAACAGCACTATTAAAAAAGAAAGGGAGGGATGGAGGAACAGAGGATGAGTGAAGGAAATTCAGCAAATGTTGCAGGGACTGTCTGGATCCTAAGACTGTGGGTGATCATTTTTAAATTTCTTTTTCTTTCCTAAGTTTTCTATGATGAGTATGCAATTTGTTTTTGGTTTGTTTTTTGAAGTGCTAGGAATCAAACTCAGGGTCTCACACATGCTAAGCAAGTGCTCTGCCACCAAGTATGTAGTATTTTTTAAAGGAGAAAAAAACAGGTTTAAAAAGTAAACTTTGAAAGTGGTTGTTACCGTCACTGCTAATCTCACCAGCACTGTCCAGTGGAGCAGCTCCAGTAAAAGTACACTCAGTTATCGATCAGTGGGAACAGGAATTGGTTCAGCCTCTTAGTTTGAAATTTTCTAATGAGACTCTAAAATGATCCAGCAGTTCCATATGAGCAAAGACACAGGTCCTGGAGTATTGTTCCTTGCAACATTTTTCTGGTCATAAAAGTCAAGGACACAAGCCATTCCCTCAGCAGGGGTCTGATGTCTCCTCGAATCAGGATGCTATGTAGCCACTAGAAAATGACCGTATTGGCTGCCTGGGAAGATCCTTATACTGCCTGACTTTCTTACGGTGTGTATAGATTACTGTTAAAATGGGTAGGTTGTATTCTTTTTTTTTCCAATGCTAAAATTGTCTTAAATCACTTTGGCAAAACAGAACTAACCCAGAGCAGGGGAATATACTTTGTCAAACTTTCATGCAAATAGAAAAATAGAGAACTTATAAAAAAAATTCTTTGTAAAATTACGAGGCTGTTGGATTGGAAATCTAAGAAGGAAACATAGCAGAGAATATTAAACTTCTTGGATATGGTAATGTTCACATGGGGAAGTGTGTATCTTAGGGGATGCATACGAAAGTGCTCTGGACTGACATGTCATGACATCAGAACGTTTAGTAGAAAGTGTGTGTGTAAGAGAAAGAGCAAGAGGCAAAATATTAACAGTTGTTGAATCCAGGTGAGGGGTGTGTGAGTGTCTGTTTCACCAGACATTTAACTCTTCCATAAAGTTGAGGTTTTTCAAAAGAAAAAGTTAAGGGAAAAAAAAAGATTTTTTTAAAGAAGCTGAAGACTTCTTTCTAAGTCATCTCTAAAGGCCTGGGTAGAGAGTTGGTTGCAGGCATCAGTGTCGCTGTGGAGCGGGCTGCTCTGGACTTCCCTGTGTTAAGGGTGGAGTGCAGCACCTGGGGCAGGTGCTGGTTCACTGAGGTTGGGAAGTGTCCCAGAACAAATGCACTCAGTAGGCGTGTCCTTTCTCATCTCTCTGCTCCCCAGTGCCCAGAGGAACCCATGCAACAGCTCGCTGCTGCAGGACAGCAGGAGGCCAGCCAGCCTCGTGGGCAAGGAACTCATCCTCGCCTTCTTCCTCCTGCTTCTGTTGGTCTGGTTCCTGAACCGAGAGTTCGAAGTCAGCTACCGCCTGCACTACCATGGGGATGTGGAGGCAGATCTTCACCGCACCAAGATCCAGAGCATGAGGGACCAGGCCGACTGGCTGCTGAGGAACATCATCCCCTACCACGTGGCCGAGCAGCTCAAGGTGTCCCAGACCTACTCCAAGAACCATGACAGCGGTGGAGTCATCTTTGCCAGCATTGTCAACTTCAGCGAATTCTACGAGGAGAACTACGAGGGGGGCAAGGAATGCTACCGGGTCCTCAACGAGCTGATCGGAGACTTCGACGAGCTCCTGAGCAAGCCGGACTACAGCAGCATTGAGAAGATCAAGACCATTGGGGCTACGTACATGGCGGCTTCGGGGCTGAACACAGCCCAGTGCCAGGAGGGCGGACACCCGCAGGAGCACCTGCGGGTCCTGTTTGAGTTTGCCAAGGACATGATGCGTGTGGTGGATGACTTCAATAACAACATGCTGTGGTTCAACTTCAAGCTCAGGGTGGGCTTCAACCATGGGCCCCTGACAGCCGGCGTCATCGGCACCACCAAGCTGCTGTACGACATCTGGGGGGACACCGTCAACATCGCCAGCAGGATGGACACCACCGGAGTGGAGTGCCGCATCCAGGTGAGCGAGGAGAGCTACCGTGCCCTGAGCAAGATGGGCTATGACTTTGACTACCGAGGGACAGTGAACGTCAAGGGGAAAGGGCAGATGAAGACCTACCTTTACCCAAAGTGCATGGACAATGGGGTCGTGCCGCAGCACCAGCTGTCCATCTCCCCAGACATCCGCGTCCAGGTGGATGGCAGCATTGGGCGGTCTCCCACGGACGAGATTGCCAACCTGGTGCCTTCTGTCCAGTATTTGGACAAGACATCCCTGGGCTCCGAGGACAACACACAGGCCAAAGACGTGCATCTGTCTTCTAAGAGACCCTGGAAAGAGCCCATCAAAACGGAAGAAAGGTGTCGATTTGGCAAAGCCATAGAGAAGGATGACTGTGAAGAGGCAGAAATGGAAGAAGCCAACGAACTCACCAAGCTCAACGTCTCAAAAAGTGTGTGAGGCAGCACCGAGCTGCCACGGTGCTCTGTTCATCAAAACACAATAATATTTGTATCTGGCTGTCGTGCTTTCTATGCACCTCAGTTTCTGTCCCTGGACGTGGTGTTATGTGGTCGTTTCAGCCCTAATTTCTGTGTGGATCACAGTTATTTAGGGCTCATTTCCACTCATTTCTTCTTTCCTTTGCTCTCTTCCCTGGAAACCTGCCTCCTTTGGGGGGATTCGTTCAGCCAAGTGAAGGAGAACAAGTGCCTTCAGGGGATGGCCTTGGCCTTGAGTCTAGGACTGAGGCCACCAGTGGAAATCATGGCTCTTGGTATTATTTGACTTTTAAAAAAAAATGCAGTGGTTAAGATATCATTTTTATTGCCTTTTCTCACAAGACTTTTTTTTTTTTGGCTCATACTGTGTTTTGAGTTTGTTTCTCTATATATATGTCAGTAGTGTTCCCAGTCACCTGGCCTTTCTGAGCACACACACGCACACACTTTTGTGTATGAACCTGACATAAAGTGCCAGTAACTCACCAGGAAGGGGTGTGGGGAAGTGGGGCTGAGAAAGCTCAGCGAGCACCCTCCCCACACTCTCCTGGGACCTGGGCCCTCGCCCAAGTGGGCTGTGGGTGGACCATGCTCCTGATACCAGGTGGGTTCAGGGGTTCACCTGCATTCAGGCCAACATTTCAAATGCTCACTGGGCACAAAGCTTGTGAACCCAGGCCTCAGGTATCTCAAAGCCGTTTTTTTTCATCCTGACCCTCTGCTGAGGGCTCTTCCAGTCGGGAGTGAAGGTGTTTGTCTTGGAAGCTGACTCACCTGAGGGAGAAATTCAAACGTCTGAGGGTTGCTTTTATTTATTTATTTATTTATCAGGCTATGTGTTTGGGGGCGGGGTGCTGGGTCATTTTGGTGGAGGAAAATAGGCTGGCAAGGGTGATTTGCAAAGGGCCCCCACAGACTGGTGACAAGAGGTCCCTTCCTGTTTCATGTTTGGCTACTTGGTGCCATGCTGCCAGCAAGGGTGCTCCCTCTTGTGGGGATCTGGAGCAAAACCGGTTGGTCTCAAAGCAGATCCCTGCAGGCCGCATCTCTTGGCTTCTACAGATCTAAGAAGTTTCTCCATTCTCTCCCACTCTCACACTGCACAGGCTGAGTGCTGGCAGGATTTAATCTTGTGAGCCGACACAACCCTCTTGAGAGGGGCTTCCTACGGTGCACTGAGGGCCAGAACCACCTGTGTGCAAACCGTCACCCAGCCAGTAGGAGGCAGGAAAGAAAAAACCTAAAGAAAATCATGTCTGGGCTCTTGGCTGCCAATCCTGCTTGTAATTATGTTTTTTCACATTGAGTCTGAAGTCTGTGTCAAGTAACTCAGTCTGGAATGGCCCTGTCATAGTTATTTTCCCAGATAACATGACATGCCTAAGAAGTAGTTCTGAGTCTGTTGGAGATATTCACGCTGTTTCCTGTGTGTTCCTTCATTGAAGAGCCTCACCCCTCATCACTCGTCCCCAAAGATTGACAGAACCTGCTGTGTCCAGCATGATGACATCTCCATCTGGTCAGCCACCTCCCCGGGGGATGGAATAGCCATCCAGCAGCCCTGCCTTCTCGGGACCCAGAGTGTTTTTAGTGACTGTAAATATTCCTTCAGGTTTGACTGTCAGTTTGTTGGTCTTCCAACTCTGAGGAAAGGATGGTCAATACCTCTTGCTTCTGAAGAATGTATTCTTATAAAATACCGTAGATTTTTTTTCCCTTAAAAAACACTACCTGATACTTTCCTCGTGCTAGGGATGTGGGCACATTGGGTTTCCTCCTGTCAGTATTAAGGTCTGTATCTGAGTGTCCATCTGTCCTCTGCCTTCCACCTCCAGACTGTGTAACTTTGAGAGGCTGGCCAGTTGCCCTTGTCATTCTGTCTCACTCAATATCCTCCCTGTCAAACCACTTTCCTTCCCCTACCACAAAGATGTTTGTGATGCCCTCCCACCCATACCCTTCTCCTCCCAGGACCCCCACAGCTGCAAACCAATGGGAGAGAATCATTAACCTCCAGTGGTCTTGTTCAGTGTTGTGTAAATGGAGCCCCCAAAGAAGGGCAATTCACGCAGAGTGTAAATGGTCTTTAAAAACACCCCGAGCCTTCCTAAAGAACCAGTGCAGATGGCCTCTTGGGGCCTTCCCAGCTCCCTGCTCCAAAGCATACCTCAGTGCGGAACCACAGAATCTCCACAGCACACCTGCCGTGCGTCTCGGTCTGCTGGCATTGAACAAATAGTTGTTGCAGAAGACAGACGGCTCCTAGGCAGTGGGCTCAAGTGCTGTCAGCAGGATGGAGGCGTCTTTCAGGTGGCAATACGTCTTAGGAACCTAGGGCAGGAAGCAATACTTGAGAATTGAATGTGTGTAAATAGTAGCTTTGCGTTGCAATTGCTCATTTCTTCTCAGCCCCATCTCAGATCAAATTTTGTACATCTGTATGATGAAAAAGCACATAATTTCACCTGACGCAAATAAATATAGAGGTCAGTTATGAACCCTCAAATCGCTTAAAGGGTCCCCCACATTGTGCCACACCTCGCATGGCTCCTTCGTCACTGACGTCACTCACGGGGACGACACACTGCACATTTGCACATGACACAGAAAGCCAAAGGCAGTGTACCATTACCTGGGCTGTAATCACTCAGAGTCTCCAAAGATACAGCTGCATTTGAATTTCTAGATTTTTTTGAGGTAAGCATTTTTCATTGGTTGTTTTGAAAATCACATCATGTCTACAATCTGAAATTAAATTAGCAAGAACCAATTGTTTGTGTTTTTCATTTCCTCTGCTCTGCTCTTTTTAAATTGTTAATTCTAAGAATTTCAAAATGCATTCACTGAAGAAATGGACATTAAAATATTCTAAAATCTAACCTTGGCACGTGGTATTTCCTCTTTGAAAAGATTAGTACCACCTCAGAGATGATGGCGATCCCCCAACTGGTACTCCTTTGTGTCTGCAACTAGAGGCTGAAATAGAATTTCCTTTTCCTTTTCACATCATGACCCCAAACAGGACAACTGAAAAAGCCCTGTTGTGTGTGATAGGGTGCGTGTGAGTGTGGTGTTAATGGATACACTGGCTATAAGTTAACTTTTCTTTGTATTTATTTTTATGCAGAATTAAAAAAAAAAACAGGTTGCAGGACATGTTGTGCTAACTTCATTAGGGCTTCATCTAAATAGATTTTGTGCAGCATCTTGAAAGAAGTTGAGAAAACACAATAGTTCTGAAAAGTTGCCCGAGCGGTCTCTCCCTCACAGTGACATGAGGGCTCTAAACAACCTGGGGACATCACAGCCCATTTCAGTACACTGAAAGCCAAGAGTCCTTCACAGGGAAACACATGCCATTTTCTACACAGCACCTCCAAATCTGAGATCAAAATACGGATCTTCTAGGGTTTAGAGGTGCTTCCTTTGAAGGCTTTTCCTGGTGGGTCAAGAATTTATCCAAGTATCACCACAAAAAAAAAAACAAAAGTGAGCAATATCAGGGTACCAAAAGTTCTCTTGTAGATTCTGGGAAGGGCCATGGGCTCTCCCACTTCCAGCTACTATTCATCAGCTTTTGGGATCCATCGTCTGCTGGCTTCAATGACAGAATATTACCCACCAATGAGGGCACCTCCATGCCCCCTGCACTGTGGGCATCCCTGGGAACGCAGGCTTGGGAATAGATTCTTCATGAAAATGGGATGCCCACACAGGGGAGAAGACAGCCTCTAATCTTCGCAGTAAGCCCCAGAACTTAGCATTTGCAGTTTCTCTAAGATTGTTTTTATGCATGGTTCCTTTTCACTGCTTAGAGCTCTGTCATTGGAGAAGATCCCAAAGACCAGGAAAAAGAAGCTAACTGAAAGAGAGCCAAATGAGAAGGAGTGATTAAGAAAAAGCACACATTTGCGCATTATGTACATTATATATACATGTCTGTGTTTATACAGTTCCTTTGTTTAAAAAAATTATATAACATGACTCTTTAGAATTACTCCTGGGTATTAGGGTAATTTAAACTTGGGAATTTCTCATATTCCTGCTGGGTCTGAAAGTCTGTAGGACATGAATTAAGCAATCCAAGTGCCTGTTGGAATCTCGTTCGTTCGTGACAGCAATGATTCTTCACCTTTTCTTTTCCTCCCAGAGCCGTTGATAATTTGATGAAAGGGTGGCTTTTTTCCTTTGGAAATGTATACATAAGAATCAACCCTCTTGATGTTGCATATGATGTCAAGTTCATGGATTCCAAAAAGCTACCCCTGACCTGCAGTGACCCAAGGAACAGTGACTTTTAATCACCACCATCTGTATAAAGTTTCCAACCATTTTGAGACTCTCCACTGGAAACACCATTCAACATGGTGGTACTACCCAGTTATATATGCATTGCTTTTCAAAATTATAATTTGGCAGCCGGGTGCTGGTGGCTCACGCCTGTAATCCTAGCTACTCAGGAAGAGGAGATCAAGAGGATTGTAGTTCAAAGCCAGTCCTGGCAAATGGTTCATGAGACCCTATCTTGAAAAAAAAAAAAAAAAACCCCATCACAAAAACAGGGCTGGTGGAATGGCTCAAGGTGAAGGTCCTGAGTTCAAACCCCAGTACTGCAAAAAATACCCAAAAAATTATAGTTTGGCGTTTTATGCCTGTGTTATCTAAATATATTTGAAGAGCCTCCCAAAGAACTTTCCAGCATATAAATATAAAGTTAGTCCAGCATATAAATACAACGTTAGTCTAACTACTTCCAACAGATGAGTAAAACTCCGTCAGGATTGGCCTACTACGTGCCACGTAATGCTCCAAAGCTCCCTTTGCTTAGGTGGTTAGATTTATTGCAATACTGGAGAACATGTGAGAAGCAGCTGTGAGTAGAAACTGCTTTTCATGATGGCTGTCCCACTGTGAATTCCACTAGTCAGTCAACTTAAGGGACTCCGATATCTGGATTGACACTTTTTGCTATAGTCTTGTTTACAGTTCTGCAGAATATTCAGTCTTTGAAGAAACCAACAGATGGAAATATCCAGAGAAGATACCTGTACCCCATGTCCTTTTGGTCCCTCACTGAAAACAGAACCAATCCCACATGCATTTTGCTTTTAAAACAGTCTCTTGCTGAGCGCCAGTGGCTCACACCTGTAATCCTAGCTACTCAGGAGGCAGAGATCAGGAAGATCGCAGTTTGAAGCCAGCCCGGGCAAATAGTTCTGTGAGACCCTATCTTGAAAACCCTTCACAAAAATAGGGCTGGTGGAATGGCGCAAGTTGAAGGCCCTGAGTTCAAGCCCCAGTACCGCAAGAAATAAATAAATAAAATAAAACAGCCCTCTCCTCCTGGCATGAAGGTCCCTGAGCTGGGCAAACAAGCACTAGCTTAGGAAGGTTTAGTTGGAGCGAGTCTTTCGGGAATAACTTCCCACAAGTTAAGAATCTTACTCTCAAATGAGAGCTGGTGGTCAGATATCTCTGCCAGGCCCACCTCAGTTATACAGGGAGCAGGCATAGGCCACTGCTCTAGCAGTCTCCCAAAGAGCTGCTGTCCATGTCCTCCTCTGACCTGTACAAGCCTCTTGCCCTCTAGGGTGGGAGGGAGTGTTTAGATTTGTCTGTGTGGTTCTGGGAACTAGCGTTGACTCTGTGCTCTGCTTGCAATTCCCTGAGCTCAGCATTCTTGTGCTGGAGGCAAACCTGAGAGGCTCTCCTCACCTGCCCTTTCCCCTCAGAACTACCTGTTTCCTGTCCCCGCAACTTTCCAGCCTTTTCTGTCTCCTCCAGGCTGGCCTAGATCGCAGGTCAGCCCAGCTCTCGCTCAGGTTCTCTGTCTCAAGAGACATTTCCTCTTCTCCAAGGGTACAGTTTTCTGCCTCAAGCCCCCAGATGTGTCCTGTTCTCTACTCTATCTGCATCACCCCACTCCACCTCACCCTCATCTGCTCTCAGTCTTGACCTCCCCTTCCATTCTCACATCCTAACTAGGAACATAGATAAACCTCAGCAATGCAATGATCAGATGATCCCAAGGTTAGGCAATATTGGTTTTAAGAAAGTTATTTTTACTTAAAAAGCTGGACATCGATCTACCATTTGATCCAGCAATACCACTCTTGGGGATATACCCAAAAGACTGTTACTCCAGAGGCACCTGCACATCCATGTTTATTGCGGCACTATTCACAATAGCCAAGTTATGGAAACAGCCAAGATGCCCCAGCACTGACGAATGGATCAAGAAAATGTGGTATCTATACACAATGGAATTTTATGCAGCCATGAAGAAGAACGAAATGTTATCATTCGCTGGTAAATGGATGGAATTGGAGAACATCATTCTGAGTGAGGCTAGCCTGGCCCAAAAGACCAAAAATCGTATGTTCTCCCTCACATGTGGACATTAGATCAAGGGCAAACACAACAAGGGGGATTGGAGTTTGAGCACATGATAAAAGCGAGAGCACACAAGGGAGGGGTGAGGATAGGTAAGACACCTAAAAAACTAGCTAGCATTTGTTGCCCTTAACGCAGAGAAACTAAAGCAGATACCATAAAAGCAACTGAGGCCAATAGGAAAAGGGGACCAGGAACTAGAGAAAAGGTGAGATCAAAAAGAATTAACCTAGAAGGTAACACCCACGCACAGGAAATCAATGTGAGTCAATGCCCTGTATAGCTATCCTTATCTCAACCAGCAAAAACCCTTGTTCCTTCCTATTATTGCTTATACTCTCTCTTCAACAAAATTAGAAATAAGAGCAAAATAGTTTCTGCTGGGTATTGAGGGGGTGGGGGGGAGAGGGAGGGGGCGGAGTGGGTGGTAAGGGAGGGGGTGGGGGCAGGGGGGAGAAATGACCCAAGCCTTGTATGCACATATGAATAATAAAAGAAAGATGAAAAAAAAAAGTTATTTTTAGATGGCAAATTGAGTTGCCACATATGTGAATAGGTGTAAAATCGCGTCCCATGATGGAATACTTTTCTGCCAGGGAACGGAAACACCTGGAACCTCACCTGGCCCTACACGACCTCACTGAAGCAGGTAGGCAGCAGCACTCCTTCTGCGGAACAGATCAGGAAACCAGGGCTAGAGCAGCTGAGGCCCCTGTCCTGGGCCAGGCCATCGCTGGCCATAATTTTTGACCACACAGCCCTTCCACAGGGAGTGACGGTGGACCACGGAGCACTGCTGCAAATCCAGGGGATTTCGTTCCTTTCCACTGCCTTTCTTTCCAAGAAAAGAACAAAGGATCAGCTTGGTTGAATGGAACATAGAACATTTAAATGGCAAGGTAAGGGACTGGGGGAGTGGCTCAAGTGGTAGAGCGCCTGCCTAGTAATCATGAGGTCCCTGAGTTCAAACCCCAAAATAAATAAATAAAGCCCCAAATAAAAATAAACAGATATGAAGCAAGGTTAATCAGAAGACCGGCAGGTAACCTGCAAGGAAAAGTGCATGTGCCTTCACTCCCTCTTTTTGTAAGATTGATTGCTTAAATTATATGTGAATTATTTAAGTTACTATCTAGTTTATGCGTAGAAGGGGAAAGTTTTTAAATTCTCATTTTCTGGCCTCGCCTCTGAAAATCTCAAATTTGGTGTCCATGTGATAACCAAATTATCCCAGCCATCCCAGAAAAGGAGCTCGGTTTGTCCCTCACCAGTGCCATCAGAAGGACCAATGCATGGAGCAGCCTATATCCCTGTCTTATCCTTCCTGTAATTTAACAGAAACAGAACACGGACCTTTAATACACAATCAAGATTTCCCCCATTGATTACACACTACATTCTTTATTATGTATAACATTAAGTTTTTTTAAAGCCCAATTATCATGTACCTGTACATCT